ATGGTGTTTCTTGATTTTCCCATGCCACCTGAAATATTCTCTTTAACCATATTGCTCCCGTTTCTCCTGCTGCCTTGATGGCCTCAGCTGGTAGATCATCAATACCTGTCGCCTTTAGTCTAGGGGCGGTTCGAATGACATATTTTACTTCATCCAATAATATACCTGGTTCTAGTTCCTCTGCTGTTAGTTCCGAGTTGTTTTTATGTTCTCCCCTGCTTTTATCTGTTTTATTGCAGCTAAGTAATGATGATTCAAAGTGATTACTCCACCTTTCTAAAATGTGATTACTCCACCTTTCTAAAATTTTGGTAGGTTCTATTAAAGGTTAGCCAACTTCATCATTTATAATTTCTGTTGGGTTGTATTCTTCATTCCTGTTTCTCATGCCTTTGATTTTTTTGTAGTAGTTTTTCACTGCTGTTCTTTCTTCTTCAGCCAGCTTGCTTCCAGACTTTTCCATGAATCTCTTTTTGCTTTTCTGATAGTTCTATTTACTTCTCTTCTAATTATCATGTATGTTATGTAATCCTCTTCTGTTCTGCTCCTCAGCCAAATGCCATTAGAAACAACAAAAGTAAGAAATAGAAAAGAACAAACGTAAAGTTGAGAGGATTGACTTCATTGCACCGAGATTTATCCTATATGGCTCAGTCTCTCTCCTGTCGAGAGCGTCGTACAGACCCCGAATTCCGCAGTCCAGCCGACGATCCTCAGGGATCTTCATAAAAAAAATTGCACTGGTGAACTGACAGCGGTGTCTTAAAACGAACCCGCGACTTTCAGAGCCCGAGGCAAACGGCTTAACCACTTCCCCACGGGGAACCGCATAGAAAGAAACAACTTAGTACCAAGAACTACGACTAGAAAATGGTGTCTTGAAATATACTCACAGGGTATACTCACAGAACATCCTTTAAGAAATAGAAAATATGCCTTAAGGCGAATAGTGACTGGCATCGTTTGATAAGACTATCATCTGGTGCATACCATGATCTTGGATATTTGTGTGTGTGGACGGTGACCTATTTTATAGTGATAGCTCTCTGTGGACGGTGGGCTATTTTATAGTGATAGCTCTCTGTGGCCAGTGTACGGCTGAACATACAATATCTATACCTCGAATGACTGATTCAGCGGAGAGTAACTAGAAGGTCTAAATGGCTTTCAAAGCGTTAGAATAAAAGACAGGTGGACTTTTCATTAAATTGCAAAAGAAAAATAAGTACTCTTTAAAATTAGCGAACTTTTCGTCGACAGCTGGAGAAGGAGACGGGACACGTATGGGAATGTCCCGCGTTAGTTATGTCAATTTATTTAGTCATTCATTCATTTATTCAGGGATAACATTAGATAAGTTAAGATGAGTCAATGGAGCAGAAAGACAGACCCCTGAGCACATACTGCAGTACTGCCCTAACCTCTCCCAGCAAAGACTGTGGATCTGGCCCAAGGGAGCCACATTGCAAGAGAAGCAATGGGGGACCGGTGGCGACCTCAAACGTACAATCCTATTTGTGACCCAGACAGGACTCAATGTTTAGAATGACTGATATCGAACGCAGAAGAAGAAGAAGAATTTGTGTTAAGAACCAACACCATAGCACACGGGACCTTTTTCTTAAGCATTCCGTTTTCAGCAGCAAATGCGGAGTTCCAGTTTCGATTGTACCAGTAAGCAGTCTGACTGTTTGCCCGTCTCGCATTTTCCGCGAGTGTTGGATATCGGCCAGATCCTCTGGACACTCTCTGCCGGGACGATCTATGTGTGCCTCCACACTGTCCATTCGCTCCCAGAGGGCCCTGTTAAAATCTATCTAGCTTGTCTCCGGCTCGCTAGCGTAGTTGGCTAAACCGGACTGCGCGGTGACCCGGTGACGAACTCCTTGTGGTCAGGGTTCACGCCCGGGGGTAGGCAGCAAGGTCACATTTTTCCCAGATTTACGGTACCTATAACAGAATCAAGGCCGAAGGGTTGCGATATCCATAGCCTAAGGGTTAACAACTCATGGCTTCTGGATACTAAAAAAAAATCTAGCTTGTCATGCATATACTTATCACCAAGTACCGCAGAACCAGCTAAATAATTTGTCACGCATACCTGGTGAGATTTTCAAAAGGACGCCAATTACCTGTGAACCAATTCTCGCTACTCTGTGCGGGCTCGAGCAGTAGAGTCGACCGTGGCGGAACATACCAGTCCCCACCTTCCTCAGCATACTGTGTGAGTCAGTTACAACCACGACACGTGTGTACCTCGTTATCAAGCCAACAGAAGATCTCAGGTTACTGTCTCTTCCTTCATTCTCTAAACAACACTTGTATCGGGGTAAGACAAACGGATGCACACCCCGACATATTTTCCTTGTGTCGTCCCCTGAATCTCACCATCTAATAGAACGGTTAAGGTTGGTTGCGTATCCTTTACAAGACGTTGCAGAACCAACCCTAACAGCCCCTAAGTATTGTCTGGTTTTTCTAGGCAAATTTACGTCCAGTAGTTTGCCATTGCAACTGGACTGTCGGCTTTCTTGATACCACTGTCAAAACCAACGCAAGGCGCATGGCCTGCAGCTGGGATCGAACCCGGCATTCCAGCATTACGAAGCGTTCGCATCGACTTAGCCACAGAGCCAACAGTAGAGCGGTACCTAGATTTGTTTACAAGAAAATGCACCTAGATTTATAAACATAAGCAGGTTCATAAAAGTTAAGTATTTTTTTTTAAGCATCGAAACCAAACAATAGTAAAATGTAAAGAAAGAATTAGAAAAAAGGCAACCTTTATGTTTAAAATTCTATTGTATCACGGATACAGTTAGCTGTTTATAACGAAAATATTTACCTAGTTAACTACATCAATAATAGTTTTTTTTTCTTAAGGTTGAATAGATTAGTATTTATAACTTCTGCTTCTTCTTCTTCACTTCCTCTTTTACCGCTGTGGGTGTCGAGGGAGATATAAGGTTATATTTCTAGCTCTTCTGGCTGCCTCGACCATAGGCACATCGTGCTGTTGTAGAGTTTCTCTGATGTTATCCTTCCATCTTGTTCTTGGTCTACCCCGTGCTCTACGTCCTTCTTCTCTTTCCATGTATGCTTTGTATGGTATGGTGTCACAAGGCATTCTTTTTAAGTGGGCAAACCATTTCACTTGCTGTCTTTGTATGTAATCCAGAATTGGTTCTGTGCCGACTTGTTCTCTTGTGATCTCATTCCTGATCTTATCTCTTATGGTCACCCCTACAGCCCTTCTCAGACATCTCATTTCCGTGGTTACTAATTTTCTTTTATGGTTTGTTGTGAGTGACCATGTCTGGCACTGGTAGCACAGAGCTGGAATAAATATGCTTTGAATAAGATGTCTCTTTGTGCTGATTGGGATTGTCTTATGCTGTAAGAGGGGGGCTAGCTGTCCCAATACTTGGCTTGCTTTACTGCATCTAATGTCAATTTCTTTATCCAATTTCAAATCTTCAGTAAATGTAGTTCCCAGATATTTAAACTCAGATGCCTGTTTAATGCCTTTGTATTCTATTGCTATGTTTAGATCTGTCTTCTTTTTTTTCCTATTGACATTACTTTTGTCTTTTCAGTGTTGATTCTCATATTATTTGTTTTACAAATCATGAATGTTAGCAAATTTCATGGCTGCAGCTGGGATCGAACCCTGCATTCATCTGCAAACGTTGAACTAAGATCTTCATTCATGGGCTTGGAATTCTTGCATATACTGTCGATGTAGGTGATAAACAGCAGTGGTGATACGACACACCCCTGTCTTACTCCAGATGTCACTGTGAAAGGATGAGATGTTCCCTGATTTTTTCTAACTACACTTCTACAAACCCCTGTATAAACACATTTGCACACTTCGATGAGGTGTTTCGCTTACTCCATATCTTGCCATTATTTTCCACAATAATTGTCTGTCGGGTCAAATGCCTTTACGAAACAAAAAGTTTCTTATTGATTCAATGTTCTTTTCTATTAACTGTTTAAGTGTGAAGATTGCATCTGGGCATTCTATTTCTCTTAAATCGTTCTTCGGCCAGCTGTGGTTCTATCACTGGTTCAGTCTTGTTTCTATTAACTTGGCATACAATTTTGCCAACATGGCTTAAAAGAGAGATTAACTCGATATTGACCGCATTCTAGTTTGCTTTTTTTTTTGGTCTAACTATTGCATGTTGCCAATCAATAGGGCACGTTTAGTATTTATAAAATGTAAACTAATTTATAATAAGAAACATTGAAGAAGCCCCGTGTGGTTCCAGGCCCTATAATAGGGAAAACAAGAATAGACCTACTGCCTACTCAAAAAAGCATGTCGTAAGAGTCGACTAATTGGGAGCTTCCTTCGAAGTGCATCTGCCTGAGAGGCAAGAAACCAACAGTCTGCACACAAAATGTGTCAGATCTGTCAAACGAATGCACACGCAACACTCGGGTTCTTGAACAGGACTGCAGTCCAGAAGTGGACGTTCAAACATAAGCAATTCTTCCCGTGTGGGCCCAGGGTCCCAGTTAGAAGGAAAAAAGAGAACTGGCTACCTAATAAGCATGTCATAAAAGTTGATTAATTAGGGTTGTTTCCTTTGAAATCGGAGTACATCTGCCTGAGAGGCAAGGAGCCAACAGTATACTTACAAATAAGCCAGATCTGTAAAACAGATCTGCATGCAAAACTCAGCTTCTGGAACAAGATTATATTCAGAAGTTGACGAATAACTAGAACTTTCTACTGGTGTTTGCAGCCAGTGAACGTGAAGAAGAAGTAAGGATTCAAACCCATGACAAGTAGACTGTCAGGCAAGCACAATAGCTACCGCTGACATTTTCTCACATCAGTGTTTACAGCTGGTGAACGCAAAGAAAAAAGAAGACATTGAAAAAGACAAGTGACCAAAGACACGGCAGGGAGACAACTCTACTATTTACGTTTCTAACCTCCATCACATGGCTATCCCAGCATTCATTGTTGTAAACAGAAATTTGTTATGGCCGCCAGCATATCTCAAACTTTATACGATTATAAAATTGATCTCAGGGAGGCCATACGAAAGGGTCAGATAGTTCCAGTAGCCTTTGAAAAGTGCCCTTTGTGCTGCGAAAAGCGAGGGGCTTTACTCTGTGATACATGCGTGAACAAAGGACAGTTTACTCACACACAAAGACGAGACGGGAAAAGGTAAAAAAATGGGCTGTCATATTTTTTATATATCTATTGACTGACGTCGTTTTGGCTGGTCAGATCGGTGTCAGAAAGGTTTTTGTGCGTCATTTTTGTGAATAATTAACACATTTTCTTCATGATTTTATTACAGTTTTCTTGATAAGAAGAAGGAGTGGGCTGCTAAAAAGGAGTACAGGGATAAAGTATGTCGGAGGTAGGTGCTGACTCATTTTTTTCTTTGTATAAATTAAATTAACTGGGGATGTTATGCAACTTATGATATTGATATGAATAGGCCAATAGGCGGGAAGTTCAGTACCTTCTTTTTAGTCTGGCATACTGACTCCGTTCGCACACAGTTCTTATTAATGTATCAAATTTTTTTAACACTTACTCATCCTGTTCTTGCCTCTAAAATAAATTTGTTCAATTATTAGCTCTGTACTTCTCTCCCATTCTTGTTCTTCATCTGCTGTCAGTATGTCCAAGTTATTTTTAACTGTTTCTTATCCATCTCTTACTTCTATGATCAGTATATTCAGTTATTTTAACTCTCTCCTGTCCATTTCTCACTTGTGTCATTAAAACTTTATGACCCCGTTATTTTTAACCCCCACACCCCCAACAGCTATTATTGTGTGTGGCAAACATCGCTGTTCATTATCCCTGTGTGGGTTACAAGAACTCATTTGGTGAGAAGATGTGGGGTCGAATATACCCACTGAATGCCCCCGCCCTAACAAATACATAGTAAAAGGTGGCTTGTAAGGAATGTCTTTTAAAGTTATAGTGCATCTACCCTAGAGGTGTGGAACTGACAAGCAAGCTGCATACAAATAAGCCAGATCTGTAAAACAGAAGTGCACCAAAAACTCAAGCTCTGCAACAAGACCAATATCCATAAATGGATGAAAAACCATGATTTCCTTCCTAAGTTTACAGCCTGTGAACGCTAAGGAGAACCTATTCTTTACACATGTCTTTGATCATTACAGGTGTTCACCTGTACGCCCAGTTTGCCAAAGGCATAGCAATAGGACCTGCTTTTTGCAAGAGTATCACAGTACAGGGCACTCACTTGCCATGACAATCTAAAAGGTTGCTAAAGGCTGAGGATATGGTCTAAAACCATGTGGCTAACTGAAAACCACCACATTTCTATCCTAGGACACATTCTAAAAGATCTAAAAAATCAAGATATGTTGGCTCATGAACAGCATCTTGTTTTGGAAATGGAAATACTATGGCCATAACAGTGGCTTAGAAAGAACAGTAATGGAGGGCATGAGGCTGAAGAGCTGGTGAGTGGCTGTGTTTCTTTTACGCTGGCTGTGATAACAGAAACATTGTATAAAGGACCTGCTTTATGTTGATGATCATGAGAATAGGAAACACCATGTGCATAACTAACCACCTAAAGTGGGCTTTTTTTTTCTTTCTGATAGTCTAGTTAAAACTACTTTACATGTTATCCTTAAGTTGCACCCTAATGATAACTATATGACTTTTATTACTTGCCACCAACTGTTAACTGCAGGTTTCAGCTCGTGGAAGAATACTCAGTGTGATGAACATATATGAGATGGTGATGAAAGAGTTACTTGTGCTGTGACTTGAATTAAAGTGAGGAAGAGTTGCGCAGTGTCGTCGACCTCACTCTCTTGCCTAAGTCATATCTGGGTCCAGTGGCAAGACAGAGTCAGGACGACTGGAGATGTGTCTAGGTGCAGTGGATGACCAGGGCGTTCTACGTGCCTCACCATGCTCTATGCGCTCCACAGCGCTTTGCTAGTGTCGCCTTCTTGCCTGTTAAATCAACTATGGTTTCTTTCGCGCATTCTGCCGACATCAGTCTTTGCATGCTTGGATTGGCAGATCCTAACTCACTGATGGAAAGGAGCATCGGCTACCCTCACCTGGTTTTGCTGGCCTGTCAAAGCCGTTGCCCGGGGGGTGGCCGCTGTTGCATGAATACTAATTCTTCATTCACAGAAGGTTTGACAACAAATGCCCAGTAAGAAAAACCTGCAGGTTGATTTCAGTAACCTTTGAAAAAGATTAGCTTTATTGACATGTTGTAAGGATCCTTTGGAAGCAAGTGAACAGTGTGGAGGCACAAATAGATCATCACTGTCAGAGGATAATGGTGCTGCAAGAGTGACAAGAAGATCTGGACGGCGCTAAAAACTCAAGGGAAGGCCATATGGATATATATATGTTTATAAAAAAAAAATATATATATATATATACATATATATATATATATACATATATATATAAATACATATATATATATATACATATATATATATATATATATAATAACTTATTTCAGGCGAACGAAAGAAGAAGAAGAAGAATATATATATATATATATATATATATATATATATATATATATTATATATATATATATTGCACTTTGTTTATATATATTATATATATATATATCTTCTTCTTTCGTTCGCCTGAAATAAGTTATCTATATCAGCAGTTTTGTCTCTTGTATAAATTTCACTGTCGTTGTTAGTTCATTCAGTAGTCCATAGAGTTTTACGTTCCACTGTTGTTCTTTCTGGCCAAAAGGTTTGCCTTAATGTGTCATAATCGGTGCAGTCCTGGAGTACATGCTCTGCGGTCTGGGGCACATTTCCACAGGTGCACATGGCTGATACACCTATCTTGAAATTTTTGTGTACATGTGGTTACGTAATCGGTTTGTGCCCTGTTCTGAGGCGGAAGATAATGACTTGTTCTGGTCTGTCCATAATAAAATAGCCGTCTTGTGCTGGGGCTGGTGGTTTCCTGATCGATTTAATGATTCTTTTCTTTTGGTGTATGTGACTGGTACATCTGGCTGCTCTTTTTTTCGCACCTTCCCCTGCCAGTTTGATCAGCTTTCTCATTTCCAGGCACTCCACAATGAGACGGTATCCACTGCATTACGACTCTTCGCTGAACGCTGAGTTGTGTCAGCAGTGTTTGCAATTCTGGTAGTTTCCTAGACTGGAGTGCTTCAAGTACTGATTTAGCATCTGTAAGCATTACCACATACTGTGAGCCAAGGTTGGTATTTAGCAGTTTCTCTGTAGCTATCTTAATAGCCTGGGTTTCTGCATCGTAGTTATGGCAGTACTTCCCGGTTGGTACGCTGGACTTATCCCTAGTACCATCTGGGAATTCGATGTACACTCCAGCACCACCATTTCTAACTGCACTTTCTGCGGACCCATCTATATAGACTCTGACCCATTGTTCTTGTGGGTATTCTTCATCAATATAACTGAAGGTGGCCATTTTGCGTTGTACACTATCTTGCTCTTTCTTGTCAAATATCCCTTTCACATTTGTCTGGATTTGTACCGTTAGTTTACATTTTTCTCTCCATGTGGTTTGTTCCGGAATACTTTTAAGTGGGCAGCCAATTTCTGGAAGGTCAGGAGTTTGTCTACATATTCTTTTTGCTTGGTGTATAAAGCTGCTTCTTTTTAACCATCCCAAGGCTAGGTTCTTAAATCTATTTTCCATCGGGTGATCTGGCATACTGAGGAACTTTTCAGTTTGTATTTGCAACTTTGTATCTCTGCGTTCTCTCAGTGCCTGTGTTTTCCCAGCTTTCTCCATTTCTAATATGGGGGGTTGATTTCATCCTCCTGTGATGAACTCTGAGCGCTTGATTTTGCACTTTGTCTAACTCCTTTAATGTGGTACTAGATGCTGAACACTATGCAGTTGACCCATATTCCAAGTGTGGAAGTATGCTCTGCTTGTATACTTTATTGAGTATTTTCCCATCTGCTCCCCCATGTGGTTCCACTTAGTTTTCTTAGTATTGCTGTCTTCCTCCTGGCTTGGTTGCTGCCTTGTTGATATGTTTTCTCCATGTCAACCTGTCATCAAATGTGACTCCTAGGTATGTGGGCTCTTATCATCTCTCAGGGGTATTTCGTTTATTTTGATGGTGCCAGCTTTTTTGCTTTGGGGAGAGGGTGAATAGTGTGGTGCTACATTTGTCTGTGTTGATGCTGACACACCATCTATTGGCCCATGCCTCAAGTGCATTTGTAGCCCGCTGTAGTGTTTTTGAGTGGCTATCGTTGCATGTTCATTGGTGCACCACAGTACCAGGTCGGTCGGCATACATTGCCATTTTGATTCCATTTGGTATCTCAGCAACCAGATCGTTGATAAATAAAAGGAAAAGTGTGGGCGACAGGACACCACCTTGCGGGACGCCTTGTCGCAGTAGAACTTTTTTAGTTTTAAAACCATCTACCTGTACCCGGGCTCTTCTGTTATGTAGATATATATATATATATATATATAAAATCAGGGAATTGGAACTCTGTGCTTGCTGCTAAAGATGAGGATGGAGTGCTTATGGGAATGTCCCGAGTGCTGTGATAATGATTCTTAATTTAACATTCTTAAGTTGCACCCTATTAACTTTAAATGAGTGTCAGTACTTGCCACCAACTTTTATCTGCAAGTTTTAGCCATGAGGAATAGTACTAACTCTTCACTCCCAGAAGGTTTGACAACAAATGCTCCGTCAGGAAAACCTACCGGTTGATGCAGTAACCTTTGTAAAACATTAACTTTATTGGTCGCAAGTAGTTGTTTTGAGATCAGACCTCTTTCCCATGTCAACTTATTTATGTGAGTCATGGATTTTGACTCAGTCTTTGAAGACAAATTTGGAGCTTTTGAAGTGAATTGCTACAAAAATGATTCTTGGAATACTGTGGACTAAGAAGAAGTGAATTGCTACAAAAATGATTCTTGGAATACTGTGGACTAAGAAGAAGTGAATTGCTACAAAAATGATTCTTGGAATACTGTGGACTAAGAAAAAGAAAAATACTAATATCGTGCATGATCTGAAACTTCAAGTAGAATTAACTCGTAAACAACATCCTGTCCTGAAAGCTGAGCATTGGCTGTGAAGAGAACTGTGAGGAAGGGTGCCGTTTTCAGAAAATGAGACAGAGACAGGTGTCTGCAAAGGTGCATGCAGGACATTGAAGATGCATTGGCTGTGAAAGCACATAGGGCTGGATAATTGGCTAGAGAATAGAAACTTTCAAATCTGCCGTGACAAGAGAAACATAATGCAAAATACCTTCTGATTGGTGGTGATGAGTTATTGCGTAAATTCTCCTGTCTAAAATGGTTATTATCTCACATTAATACAGGGTTCGTAGTGGACCGGGAAATCGGGAAATTACCGGGATTTTTTTCGTTGACCTTAAAACCGGGATTTTTAGCTTATAAAAGATATTCCGACCTTGAAAAGCCGTGAATTTTGACCGCGGCAATGAATCGTCAGAAATCCGGTTTTTTTTCAAGCACAGGCAATTTTGGGGAGCCATTTGGCTTTTTTGGCCATTTGGCTAGTTTTTGGCTACTTTCATTGTATGGTCGTTTCAGGTGTGAGGGCAGCTGATTATTGGCTATTTTCAGCCGAAATGGCTTGTTAAAGGCCAGGGGAGGGCGGGCTTTGTTACAGATCATGAATACATGCAGACAGCAGCAGTGTGGCATGGGGCGGGAAGGAGCAGCTTCCTTCTCGCCGTGTTNTATAATGTGGACCCAATTTACTCCATTGAGGTACCGTTTCTTTTCTCTATTAAAATATAGGTTTAGCACCAAATGCCTGATCCACCAGGAAAAGATATAAAACCCAACGAAAAGTAGATCAGCGAGCTTCACAATATAACAAACAAAACATGAACGTTGCATCTATCAAGCCTCCATCAGCGCATACGTAATTCAAACAAAACCACACAAATATTTTCTGATTCACCAGGGACAAGGAAACATTTTCTTTATTACACATTTAAAATTTGTTTTGTTTCTTGTTTCAGAGAACTGAAATTGAAACAGTTAAATTAAAGATTTCTCTTTTGAAGAGAGCTTTAACTGAAACTAAAACAACATGCAATTTAGGTAGGTGTTAAACCTTTCTTCGTGTCATTTTTGTTTGTGTTTTATATAATGTGTGAATTATTCTTGTATATGATGGTCAGAAATGTTTAAAAAAATTTATGGTGTGTGTTTTGGTACCCAGTTTTTCGAGTGAAAGCATAACGCACTGCCAAAGAATGTCATGAATGGGAAAATTAGGGGTTAGCTAAAGTCTGATGTGTTGGGTCGTAATTATCACAGCCTAGCTGTAAACCATAAAACGGCATGTCAGCCGGCCTCTTAAGGGCCTACATGGAAGAAGAAGGGGTATCTTTGTAATTCTTCTGCTAGTGTGATGTTACTCATTTTTTATTTGTAAAACCTTTTTTTCCCTAGTTTCTTTTCTTTTTCCCCAAGTTTGGCATGGTGGTGCAGTGATCAGTGCACTCCTCTAATATTACAATGGCCAGGGTTTTGGGCTTCTGCAGGGTTCAATTTGTCCTGACCAGTTAGTCTCTGGGATCAACACACTCTTAAAATTGAAACCTGATATCTGGGATAAGTAGAAGAAAAATGATAAATGTGTCAGTTATACTCCTCATATGAGGCTAATGTTGTGACTGCATTATCCCTTAACCTTTTCAACCCTGGATATATAGGTCAGGATAGATATTTCTGCATACATGCATACACCATAAGTCTGCTAGATTATGTGGAGGAGAAGGGATGGTATAATATTGTTTACTATTAATAGAAGTTGTCCATTTAAATTCATCTGAAATCGAGTCTTAGATATATGTTTCGTAATGAGATAAAGTTTTAGGAAGACCACGAGGGAGACCAAGAAGATTATGGAGAGATAATATCCAGACGGACCTGCAAACACTTGGTGTTACCAACTGGAAAGAGAAGGCCAACTAGAAAGATGAATGGAGGCGGGTGATATCTGCAGCAATGAACCTCAGGGGCTCAGAATGCTGAAGAAGAAGATTAATGGAAGTATAAAATTCAGCCTGGTTGAGTGATTATAGAATACCGTGGGCCAAAAAAAGAAAAACACTGATATCCTACATAGTCTGAGGAAAATTGGCTCATAAACAGCATCTTGTTCTGAAAGCTGAGGTAGTTTAGCAATGTTAAAGGTCGTGATGGAGGGTACCTTTTCCAGAAGACGAGGCAGACCTCAGTAAACATGGATACAAGACGTTGAATTTGCATTTGCTATGAAAGCACATAGGGCTGCAGAATTGGCTAGAGAAAGAAAGACTTTCAGGAATGCTGTGACGAGAGCAATGCTCTGTAAAGGACATAATTAGTGGTTATAGTGCTGGGCTCCGTCTGCTGTGGTGAATGTAAGTTGTTGTTTTTTTCTGTCTGGAGACAGAAATACAATTCCCTACCTCCACAGCTCATGGTGACTGCACACACCATGTGGCCCTCCATGCTCAAGTTTACGACGCCCCTGTTCCACATTGTCTTAAATGTCTTGAAGAAAGCAGTGAAGACAGTTTTTCGTAAATGTACACGATTGATTTACTGTCTTTCTTTTAATGGATTTTCTGGACATCTGTAAATTCTTTGGTTTTTGTGAGGTAACATGTGAGATTCGTCTCACATATACATAATATGTATATATATATAAATATATATATGTGTGTGTATGTTTGTGTATTCTTGATGATCACAGGCTTTAAACTCCAGTGAAAAGTTATGGTTATTCGTCTGCCTCCAGACTTTAGTCTTGTTCCAGAAACTGCTATATACCTTACCATGCTACAGTAAAACCTTGTTAACATGAATTAGAAGGGACAGAAAAGTAAAGTAAAGGATCCTTTTCCATGCTTTCACATGTATTGGGCATATAGGGCTAGACTTTTGTTTTATAGACCAATCCGCACTCTGTGTCGGCCGCCTTTATTTTCCAGGACTGTACCTAATACACATTTTCGGCTAGGTCGACCTGGCAGCCAAGGTAATTTTTGAAAGAAAAAGTATGGTTATGTCAGGATATGAACCCAAAACCAGAATATTCAAGCGTTCATGTTAAAATAAAAATTGGTAACGGGGGACTTAAATTAATACATCCTGTGTTACATAATTTTTGTTTCTGTTAACTTCTTAAGCAAATGTGTGTTAACAAGGTTTTACCTTATGTCTTTTTTATGTCCATTCCACAATAGACAAGAAGAGACTGTCACAAGACAAAAGCAAGAGGCGGGAGGCTCAGGCCCGACTGGAACACAGCAAAACTTATGCAAAACCAATCCTGAAGCAGAAAATTTCGGCACTCACGGAACCACCCAGCCAGACTCTGCCAGCAGTGGAGGACCTTTGTGACATTGCACTCACTAAAGATGTCAATGTCACCCAGTTGATTCCTTTAGCCACAAAGACTCTTCACAAGCAGCACAAAGAGGCCAAGGAAGGGACGAGCATAGATCCCAAATCCGTGCCTGTTCTGAAACTAGAGACTGACCTCTACTTTCAGTATTTGGCATACAATAGGGCACGATTTGTGAGTGTTCTCAGCCAAAGAATCTTTCCAATTGAGGAGGTGTTTGCGTACAGGTAAATTCTGTGTACTGTATGTATATATCTTTATTCCTTATTGTTCTGCCTTTTGTCGTCCAATGAAGCATACTTCCTCAGCCAGCTCCAACCAGGTCCTTTATAGTCTTGATCATATTTCAGTGATCACATCACTTGCTTCACTCATCCAGTGCTAGTTGATCTATAAAAAATATGGGTCAAGCACCCATGTATTTAGAATATATATATATTTTTTTTTTAATACTCAAAATATTTAATTGCAAAAATATGTTAATCTTCTTGAAATGAGACGAGTGATTAAAAGATTGTGTTCCCTGTATGGGTTCCAGGAATCCATGAAAGGGGGAGGGGACTTGCTGGTCCCCTGAAAAGCTTGTCATAAGAGACAACCATTTAGGGAATCACTTAAATCGGATGTGTTGAGCGTAGCTGCAGACAAACCACAACACAGTGTACAAAATGCCCTTTTAAGTATGAAGACAGAAGAAGAAAGAACAAGAATAATTTTCATTGTATCAGATATGTGATCTCGTACGGCTCAGTCTCTCCTAAGAGCTGCTGATCGTTCACGAAAGCATTGCACAAAGTATGACCTTCACAGCTCCAGCAACGGCTTCCAGGGATCTCCAAAACACCTGCAGTCGTGAACCAAAAGACTGAGTCCAAGATCGAACCCACAACCTTCAGAGCACAAGATAGAAATTAGCCTAATTCTGTGGCTGAATGAGAATAAACTGAAACAGAATTGAAAAAGTAAAAAAGCTGAATGCACAGATCTGAGCCAAGACAGGTATTGTATGCCCCCCCCCCCCCCCCCCCTTGTTGGTTCTGGGGCCCTGGGGGTGGGGGTAATAGACCCACTGCCCCCTAACAAGTAGATTAAATAGTGTGTTTTGTTTTAAGTCCTTATGCATCTGGCAGAGACAAGAAACCAACAGTCTGCATACAAATAAGCCAGATTTTAAAACAGATGTACATGCAATACTCATGTTCTTGAGCGTGACCTAAGTCCAGAAGTGAATTAACTTTCTGCCGGAGTTATTAAATGCTATGAAGATGAAGGGGAGAGTGTCATGTGAGATGGCTGCACTTATAAGTACGACACATGATAATGCTGATGAAAGTCGAGGATTTTCATGTCTTTCTCTCTTCTTCTCCTTATGCTCCAGTGGAGCACACAGCCCTCATTCAGTTCAAGCCAGTTCAGATTCCTATCTTTTGATATTTATTGCACACAGCTCACTTTCATGATTGGTTGTTTGTCTTTTGTGACCCATTGAAGACATGGAACAAAGTTAATTACATCCCAAACCAAGAACATAATGAACTTAAATTGGTTGAATTCAGCAGGGTTAAAAGACTTACTTACTTACTTAGTCGCTCCTCTTCTACCTTGGGGTGTAGAGGTTTGCCAGAGAGATCGCCAGACGTCTCTATCCGCAGTTTTCTTTCTGGCTTTGTTCCATTCCAGTCCTCTGTCAGTTAGGGACTGTCGGATGTTGTCTTCCCAGCGCACCCTGGGTCGTCCCGGAGGTCTGGTTCCCTGGTTCTTAGCCTCCCATGCTTGTCATGGTGGCCGATTTTCTCCCATTCTGCATACATGTCCAAACCATCGTAACTGTGACTGATCTACTCGGGTTAGTAAGGGCTGGGTATCAAGATCTTGACGTAAGGGTTGAAAGAATAAGATAAATGACCTGGAAAACAGTGGTGTCAACAGTTATAAGAAGGGGAAAATGGCAGTAGATTGGATACATTCTGAGAAGAGACCATCAGACCAAATAGACACTGACATGGAAAATGCAGTGATTAAGGAGACAAGGAGATCCCAGAGAAACTCTAAAGTGAATGTTGATGAGAGAAACCATAAATGATTGACTGAATTGCATCCATGATATTAAAGTAATTGTTTATTGCACGATAGCTTTCATAAAGGCTACCGGCCTCCTAATATAATAGACTGCAAACCCTGTGTGACATCTAATGATAGACTGCATACCCTGTGTGACATCTAATGATAGACTGCAAACCCTGTGTGACATCTAATGCACAACAGGAATTAATTAAATGTGTTTGATAGGATCAGGTAGCCATCCCCTACCAACCTCATACCCTTAGTGGTCTTTCATGACATATCTGATAGGATCCATGTTACCATTCTTTGCCTTAGCATTTCTGATATGTTTGTATAATGTCTTCTGGGAATGATTGAGACTTCACATCATTGATTTCCCAGCATGTTTCACGTCATTGATTTCCCAGCATGTTTCACGACATTGATTTCCCAGCATGTTTCACGTCATTGATTTCCCAGCATGTTTCACGTCATTGATTTCCCAGCATGTTTCACGTCATTGATTTCCCAGCATGTTTCACGTCATTGATTTCCCAGCATGTTTCACGTCATTGATTTCCCAGCATGTTTCACGTCATTGATTTCCCAGCATGTTTCACATCATTGATTTCCCAGCATGTTTCACATCATTGATTTCCCAGCATGTTTCACATCATTGATTTCCCAGCATGTTTCACATCATTGATTTCCTAGCATGTTTCACGTCATTGATTTCCCAGCATGTTTCACATCATTGATTTCCCAGCATGTTTATTGTTTCTGTCTCAGCGACGAAAGCATCCTGGAGATGAGCATGGCCACGGCTCTGAAGGATGCCTGTGAGACTGCATTCATTGGTGGTCGCTGGGTCCATGTGGATCTTCGGGGAGAAAACCACTGTAAGATCGTTGGTACCAGTCTGCCTGATTACAGTGGGGAATCTTCGGCTGTCAGTTTATTCAGTAGGTGTCTTTCATATCTAGCAACATGTAGTCTGTATTTGAGTTAATTTTAAATGTGTATTCTGTGGTTTTCATTCTTTCATTTAAAATGTGTATTCCTTATTTCTCATGGTTTCAGACAACGATACAACCCCCGTGTGGGGAAAAAAAAAGAATGGATCCACTGCCTCCCCAAAAGCATGTCGTAAGAGTCGACTAATTGGGGAGCTTCCTTTGAAGTCGGAGTGCATCTGCCAGAGAGGCGAGGAACCAACAGTCTGTATTCAAGAGAATTAAATCTGTAAAACTGATGCACACGCAACACTCAGCTTCTGGAGCAAGACTGCAGTTCAGTAGTGGACGAGCAACCAGAACCTTCCGCCAGAGTTTACAGCTGGTGAACGCGAAGAAGAAGAAAAAAGACAATAATACGAGAAAAATGTTCCTAGAGACAGTAATGGTACACAGTAGCCAGCCTTCATTGTGCAGACGGCACAGATTCTTTTTAATTTTTTTAATATATTTTTGAATTCCCAATTTTAGCCCATTAATCGTTTAAAACTATTATGTATGTAAGTTAATTCCTTCTCTTATGCTGTCTGCTAATGGGCACCATGATAAGTCATTTTCTCATAACCTGAAGGTTTTCAAACTGAATCATTTGGCTCAGAAATGCACCCCCCCCCCCCCCCCCCCCCCACCCCCACAGAATGAACATATGAAATGAACACATTGCGGAAATGTTCACACACTGTTTTCACTTGGTTTTTTTTTTGGGGGGGGGGGGGGGGGGGGTAAAGCCAGTCAGCATTTAGGGAGACAGATCGCAAGAGAGAAGATAGAGAGAATGTGCTGTGGTTTTTTTGGGGGGTGGAAGGGGATAGCTATATAGAGCCAGTTTTAACATACAGCTGTGAAGCCTGGACAATTTATAAGCAAGCTGAACAATATCTGGAGGCCTCAGAGATGTGGTTTTACAGAAAATTCCTTCAAATTCCTTGGACAGCCAAGAAGAGTAACCGAGATGTTTTGAAAGAGGCGAATGCTCAGAGATGGTTTGTTTATCACAAACATCAGAAAGAAAGAGTCATCCTTTTTTGGTCATGTTATAAGAAGAGAAAAGATCGAACATGGTGTGACCACTGGAAAGATCTGTGGAAAGAAAGAGAGGAAGACAGCGTGAGAAGATTCTTGACAGTCTTGTGTCATGGCATGGAGAAGTGTCAACACACGAACTGAAACACTCAGATTGTGGAAAGGCATGATTGCGCTTGGCAGTTGCTGATGATTGTGGGGGGGAGGGGTCCAGGTCTGCCATTTTTATCAGCTTGACACAACAGTGACCATATGTCAGACAAGTGAGATTCAGTCATGAATACCCTGTTCAGTCTTTTTTAAATGTTTGTATGCAGGGACCCTGTTGAGCTTAGAACTGATATCACAGCACTTTCAGCATTTCCTTATCTTCAGCGATCAGTGTGGAGTTTCAGTTCCGCTTGTGCCAGTACCAACTGATTATAGATCCATCTTGTTGTTCTTTGATTGGTGTATAAAATATAGGTATAGCCCAATACGCCTAAAGGCATTCAATAGTTTCCTTTACTTGCCTTTCCTCTTAGTGTTGAGTGTCAGCAGCACCCGTGTTCAAAAGTGATAAGAATATATCGTCACCACTACACGAGTCACCTATGTGTTGAATTACTGTTTCAATAGAATCATATGTGACCATTGAGTAGCCAAAAATCTAATTTGCGTAGTGGCATGAAAAGCTGTACCTTGGTATACGTACTTAATCTGTTCATTATCCTCGGATGTATAGTAAACACTACGTATACCAAATGAATTTTCCCATTTGAAATAAAAGGGGAAATGATTAATCCGTTCCCATGAGAAAAAATAGCCTTCTGTTTTTCGCATTCTGTAAAATAATGGAGTTGTATAAAATAATTTATGTACTGTCAGATACTTTTTCTTCTTCTTTTGTCATCTCACTGATACCATGTTGTAGTCTAGTATTGTGGTTTTCTGTATTAGTCTTGCGCTTTTGGAGTGGCTTGAGCGGTGGATTTTTTTCATCTTTTTGCAGGTTTCATCTACACCATTTATCCTTATTTTCTTGGTCTTCCTCTCGCCTTATAATACATAAATACAATAGCAATGAGATAAAGTAAATGACAATTTACCTCACTTTACATTTATCTGAGAATAATCAAGTGACTTCTACAGTGGTGCTGAGAAAGGAGGAAGAAGAAATTTTGTGTTTGGAAGGACAGTTCCCTTCAAATACAGTTTTAGGTTCTGAAATTCTGTTTTCTTTTTCTTTTTTTTTTTCCTGTCTCTTTTCGTATTTGGACCTGGTTGAGGCTCATATTTGCCCAAAGAACTTTGCCTTCTTCCCTAGATGTGTCAGAAATGTGACTGGTCATTTCAGACAGTGCTATTATGATTTGTTGTGGTGATACTTTTCTGCAAAGTCATTGACATCTATACGTGGCTTTCTCTCGAGAGTGGAAACAAAGATAGCACAATTTCCTGACTCATTTTGACTCATACAAGTTTGTATACCAAACAAATGTCATATACCAAGCAAAAATTGTAGAAACAGAACATATATCAAGTTAAACAAAAATCAAAGCAAACATGTACCGAGGTTCCGCTTTACTGTATTTTGACCTCTTAGGGATAGGAATTTACATCTTGCAGTATTGTAAAGGTGACAAATAACAGGCCCGAAAATGCATGAACGAAAATCACCAAAATTAAACTTGGTGACTTTAGCATAGTGCCAACGATATAGTTTGTGTCATGTTTGTTTGTCTGACAAAAACTGTTTTGCCTGCATCCACAGTAATGGCCAATAGGCATGGATCCGACAACCCGGCCAAAATTCCGGTAGGGAACCCAGGCTACGGTATACGAGCAGCACTAGGTTACACTGCAATGTTTACCAGTCTGGTTGCTAATGTTTTGGATGTGCATTTGCCACGGAAGTGTTCATTTAGGTATGTTGTTCAACTCTGTGTACCTTTATTGTGGGAGGTTAAGTAAACAACCTTTTTCCACTCCGTCAGACATATTGGGTACATAGGGCTAGACCTTTATTTTAACGGCCAATCGGCCCTCGGTGGATGATGTGGTCAGCATGGCGCCAGATTTTTGGAGGGGGGAGGTGCTGATTAGTATCTCATTTAATGCAGTGTACATTTTCATTTTATGTAGAGATGGGTATTAAAAGGTATAATAACTCTATTTTGAAAAATAGAGGGAAGATACTTCTGCAGAATTTGAAGCTTTCAAGCCTTTTGTTTCACCACACATATGATCTGTGGGAGTACATTATATTTACTATACTTTAATTCACTGTCATCCTCAGGGAGTTGAAAGATGACATGACAGAGTCTGACTTCTGCAACTTTATTTGGCGACTCAATCAGAATATCTTGCATCTGGCCTACAGCCAGGAAGTCGACCCTTCAAAGCTTTTGGATAACCTGTCGTTGCAGAATTTGTTGGCGATGCTCAAGTGTCCAAAGCTTGGAAGGTAAAATCACTTCTGTGTATTTCTTTTTCTACGTTCACCCTAAAAAAATGATGATTGATGCATGTTGTCGTTTACATTTAGGCTGTGATATCTGAATCATTAGGCCCAACACATCTGTTTTAAGCACATAATTAATTAGTTGCCTTGTTCAGCCTTAACTATTACAACCTGCTTGTGAACGATCACTTGGTCTGTTCTCCTCTCCCACAAAAATGAGGCCCCAAAACCGTTTGAGTGAGCAGTTAATGGTTGGTTTGGTGTGTGAACCAGCACTTTCACTCAAATGGATATCTACAGAAGTGTCCAGACAAGCGCTTATATCAACAGTTAAAAGAAAACGAAGGTGGCAATATATTGGGCGCATCATGAGGACAAGCTGACAGAGAATCACCAAACATGCACTGTGATGGGAAACACATGGGTCAAAGGACACCCAAGAGAAACTCTAAGACAAACATTGCTGAGAGACCAAAAATGTTTGGCTGAATTCGGTCCTTGAAAAAGGGATTGTAGGGGATTGCTTATGGCAGATCGGGAGTGGAGGGATTCGCTGCGAGCTGTGTGACGTCTAACAGCATGACAGGACAATAAGTGTCCAGTCTTCTCCAAAATATCACTGCCTTTTTCTCACCTGCAATGTATACCTCCATAGAGCAAAAACCCTCATCCAACTTAACCAAGTCATCCTATTCCTCGTCATCACATGCAGCTCACGTCATGTCCTCCATATCTGTTTGTTTCGCCTCTTCTAATTCTCTTGTGCATGTGATTTTTTTTTTCAATCGGCCATTATTATTGTGTCCTGTGGTGTCCATTTCAAGAACGTTTTTATTGTATTATTATGATGTTTTCTAAATGTGAGTCTTTCTTGGATAGCATACAAGAATAATTTCAACTCAGTGCTTCCACTTTTTTTTTTAATTTAAACCTTACAATTTTGATGGAAGTAATAATAATCATGCCAGTGTCTGGGACCTGTCAGTATTGTTGTCAAGGATGTCAGGGGTGTTAAGCACATGACATCACAGTACAGACGAACACAATGACATCATAATGCTAGTTTAAAGATTGCATCTCACTTTTAACATGCACCAAAGAGGAGCATGTCCTGTTGTTTTTTTTTTTTTTAAAAAATCAGTGCAGGGGCAAAACCTATAGAAATTGATCGACAAGTAAAGGTCCAGTGTATTTGGGGCAGTTTGCCATTCACAGCTGGTCAGCGGTTTTACTGTATGAGGCCTTCACCAGTTGCAGTTGACTCTATGGTCACTGGTCAGTATGCCTGATCCAGTCATAAACAGTCTGTCACATAAGTAACATTGTTTTAAAGTTTTCTAATGCACTGATGCACTCACATAAAATGGGATTAATTCAGAGAGAGTGAGGAGATGAGAGAAAAGTCTGAACAAATATCTGTTCCAACTGCAGTAAGACAAAGAAGATGGAGATATATTGGGCACACTCTGAGATGAAATGAGTAGATAATTACAAAACAGGCACTGAAATGGGAAACAGACCGTCTGAGAGAGAGAGAAAAAAGGGTGTCCAAGGGGAAACATGAAGAAGAACATTATTACGAGAGGCAACACATAAGGAGCTGACCACCATGTCAGAAATCGAGAGAAAGTTGTGAGCAATAAAGCAGAGTTGAGGAATTGAATGCAAGTCCTGTGTGACTTCTAACGGCACACAAAGGATGATGATGACTGAAACACTTGCTGGACTGACAGGCAAGCATCACCATGCTGGTGTTTTTCTTTGGGGGGGGGGGGGGGGGAGTAGCTGAGTTCCACTTTTCGTTCTGGTCAATTTGTATCTGCAAGTTCATGTGTCTTGTAGTCCGGCCCTATCCCTTTTATGGCTTAGTTGATCCAGCTAATCTTAACTGCTAGCATGACTTTTGTGAATAATAAATGCTGGACCAAAAAAAAAGCAGAAATGATCACAGTAAATAAAGCTCTAGTTCAACAGGTCACACCTGGAGAATAGAGGATGGCAAAGTCACTAAGGACATCCTTTATGGTGAATTAAAGACGGGTAGAAGATGTCGAGGCCGACCTCTACTACGGTGTAAAGATGTGTGCAAGTGGGACATGAATAATACAGTTATTGAGGTGGACTCATGGGAACAAAGCGCCATGGGCCGTGTTGTGTGGAGGGGGCGTATCAGGAAGGAAATGAGAGTGAAGGAAGAAATGACTGCACAAAGGATGAGAGCTGAGCATCTGAGAAGAAATGGATTAAACACAAATGTGGACAACAGTGGTCCTGAAATCCCATGCTTTCCTTGTGGAAGGCTTTTCTTGACACAGTCGGGTCTTGCTAGTCACACTTGCTATCGCCATGGGCTGTTAGTCTCATGCCTCCTCATAGCGCAATATAACACTATCGTCTGGAAAGATGGAAAGGTGCCAATCAATTTTTAACAGATCATCGCAGTTGAAGGAGAGACATTAACACACGCTAAGGAGTTTCTGTCTTCTTCATGTTCATGGGCTGTAAACTCTGGGAGAAAGTTCTGGTTGTTCGTCCTCCTATGGACTTTAGTCTTGTTCCAGAACCTGAGTCTTGTGTGCAAATCCATTTTACAGATCTGGCATATTTGTATTTAGGGGCTTCCTTTGAAGTCAGATTTCATCTGCCTGATATGCAAGGAAACAACAGTCTGCATACATACAGATAAGCTGAATCTGTAAAACAGATGTGCATGCAGTATTCAGGTTTTGGAATAAGACTAAAGTCCAGAAGTGGGCAAACAGCCCCAACTTTCTGCTAGAGTTTACAACCAGTAAATGCAAAGAAGAAAAAGATATTGGGTAAAACCTGGTGGGATAAAGTCGAGCCTCCCGACTTTCAACCTTTAAAATAGCAGTATATTTCTTTCTTTTTTTTTTTTTTTTTTCATTTTTGTGTGTGTGTGGTGGATTTGGACTAGCAGATTGTAATTTTTTTTTTAAGCAGTCTTTTTAGTAGTTATCTGAATGTTATTGTTTATTTCAAGTGTAATATCAATTGTTTCGTTTCAGATCTGGAGCATTTGTACCAACGTATAAATTACCTGTAGAGGCTGATCTGTGCTCACTTGAATATGAGAGCGAGGATGAGACAGAAGCTGGTGCAGGCGACATAGAGATTACACGGGACTGGGAGCGTGTCCCTGCAAGTCTGCCTTCATTCGACACATCTCCCATGGGTGTCTCATCGCCTGTTGACAACAACATGTCAGCCACTGGTGCCTTGTTCAATGCAGCAAATGCGGCAGCAGCAAGTTTGACTGGCTGGTTCACATCATATTACAGAAAATAAATATACCAGTTTCTGTTCTTATTTTTTTCTACCAGTTGATGTTTTTATTTTTTCTATCCCCTCATTTTTCCAGTTAATGGAAACTTACTTTAACTCTTTCTGTCCCGAGCAGTGGATTATGTGATTGGATATTTTATATGTGTACCAATCTCATGTTTAGTCAAAGGTAAAGGGCCCTGGTCCATGCCTTCAGGCGTATTGGGCATATAAGGCTAGACCTATATTTTATAGACCCATCTGCACTTGGTGGGTGATGTGGTCAGCCTTACACCGGCCAACTTTACCTGATAACCAATAAAGGTCGGGTCAACCTGGTAGCCTAGGTCACTCTTGAAAAAAAAGTCTGGCACTGTCGGTACCTGAACCCACAAACTTCTGATCCGCAGGCGAACATCTAGCCACTACGTCACAGTGGCTGTCATGTTTATTTAAGGAGTCTTTTAAAAAAAAAAACAGACAAGATATTTATCTCTTACAAGGATAGCGTATCTGGTCCCTGTGGAATTAATGTACCCATAAGTTTAGTGATATCATTCTTGTCTCTCTTGAACAGTAGATAGATTTAGCCATTTGGGACTGAAAACTGAGTTAAGACATGTTCTAGTGTCAGAATTGTCAGCAACATTTTTTTTAATTGTATTTTTAAATGCCCATTATTGTTTGATTTTTACCTGTAAATGGAAATAAACGTCTTTCATAATTTTAAAAATATTGTCTGATGCTTAGCCAGCTTTTTAATGTACATAATTGCTCATTTCTAGAGTTTGTGTTTGCAGAACAGCGCAAGTTTACATTTACAATCTGGCAGTTGTTGTTGTTGATGCAGCTAATGATAGTTCAGCCATGACAGCTGTAATCAGTTATTTCAGTTACTTGTTGCCGATGTTGCAGTTATTAGTTTGCATGCACTGCAAGCTTTCAGTTGTTAATCTAAACATGTGGTTACTAATATAAACAGTTGGTTTTTAAATTGTGACTGACTTTAATCATCACTAATGTGACAGCATTGTGAATTTCATGGTTATCAGTGTGAAACATGTCGCCATCAATTGCGAACACATTGTTAACAGTAAGACAATTGTTTATAATTTTGAATGTCATAATCACTGAGGTGAGTGCAAAGTTACTTATATGAATATGTGGTTATCAGTGTGAACACATGGTTTTCAATGTAAACATGTCATTGATGTGAACATATGGTCACTAATGTCAACACGTGGTCACTGTTGTCAACACATAGTCACTGATGTCAACCCACGGTCACTGATGTCAACACCTGGTCACTGATGTCAACACCTGGTCACTGTTGTCAACACACGGTCACTGTTGTCAACACACGGTCACTGATGTCAACACACGGTCACTGATGTCAACACACAGTCACTGTTGTCAACACACAGTCACTGATGTCAACACACGGTCACTGATGTCAACACACGGTCACTAAAGTCAACACACGGTCACTGATGTCAACACACGGTCACTAAAGTCAACACACGGTCACTGATGTCAACACGGGGTTATTGATGTGAAAATTTGGTAATTGATATGAAAACCACAGTGATTGATGTAAACATTTCATCGATGTGAACACATGGTCATTGATGTGAACATGTCATTTATGTGAACAGGTGGTTATCGATGTGAACATATGGTTATCTATGTAAACACATGGTTATTGGTGTGAACACATGGTTATCTATGTTAATACATAGTCAATGATGTAAACACATGGTTATCCATTTGAACACTTAGTCACTGATGTGAAAACAGGATTAACAATGTGAATACATAGTCACTGATGTGAACACATGATCACTGATGTGAACACAAGGTTACTATTGTGAACATGGTTATCCATGTTAATTTTTGATAATTGATATGAACACATGGTTATCAGTGTGAACACATGGTTATTGAAGTGAACACCTGGTTAAGGATGTGAACACATAGTTATCTATCTGGTAATCTATGTGAACATGTGGTCATTGACATGGTTGTCAATGTGAACACATGGTTATTAATGTGAACACATGGTTATTAATGTAAATACATGGTCACTGATGTGAACACATGGTCATGGTCACTGATGTGAACACATGGTTATCGATGTGAACACATGGTTATCAATGTAAATACATAGTTATTGATGTGAACACATGGTTATTGAAGTGAACAGTTGTTTTCCAATTTTATTTGTATCATCACTGATATGAGTGGAGAAGAAACACCAGATCATGATGGGACAGTATGCATTGGAGCAGGTTAACCAGTTCAAATACCTTGGAATTGTATTAGACCGAAACGGAGGCATTAAGACTGAGCTGGCTACACGAAAAGCAGCTGCTGGGAAGACTCTTCCAGGCCATAGACCGAGGGTTTCTTAGCAAAAAAGAAATTGGCAAAAGGACAAAAATGGCTGTTTACCGCTCTACCTATGTACCAGTCCTGACCTATGGGTGTGAATCATGGGCAATGACAACAGCTCACAGAAGCCAGCTGCAGGCCTCGGAAATGAGATATCTGAGAAAGGTGGTCCAAGTGACAAGAAGGGACAAAGTCAGCAATCAGACAATACGTCAAGATCTTGATACCCAGTCCTTACAAACCCCAGTGGATCAGTCACAGTTACGATGGTTTGGACATGTATGCAGAATGGGAGAAAATCGGTCACCATGGCAGGCATGGGAGGCTAAGAACCAGGGAACCAGACCTCCAGGACGACCCAGGGTGCGCTGGGAAGACAACATCCGACAGTCATTAACTGACAGAGGACTGGAATGGAACAAAGCCAGAAAGAAAACTGCTGATAGAGACGTCTGGCGATCTCTCTGGCAAACCTCTACACCCCAAGGTAGAAGAGGAGCGACTAAGTAAGTAAGTACTGATATGAGTGAATAGTTTACCTTAGTCGAGAATGATTGCCATAACAAACACAAAAGTGCTGTTATTGCCAATGTGTTGCCATTGTTGTGATTACTAATTTAGCTTTCATTTACTAATGTTAACATATGGTTACTAATTTGGAAATATGGCTACTCATGTCAGTGTATTGTTATCAATAGTTAACAGTATAAAGGACCCTTTTCCGTGCCTTTGGGCATCTAGGGTTAGATCTCTATTTTATAGACCACTACTCGGTAGCTAGGGGGTGATGTAATCCACATTCATGCCCGCCATCTTTAGTTTCCATGACTTTACCTTGTAAACGTTTACCCATTCAAGGCTGGGAGAAATTATGAGCTAGTATTAATTTCTTTTAAAAGTCTAGTTCCATCAAAACATGCACCCATGACCTTTCGAGCAGCAGGTCTAGCCGCTACACCACGCCGGCTCCCAGATAAAAATGCTAATGCCAGGTTGTTCATATTAACATATAATTTCCATAATGAACTCACAGTTACCTGAGTGAATACACGGCTGCTTTGTTAATGCATGATCATCATTGTGAAACTGTAATTACTACAGTTGTAGCCAAAAGTTTAAGATCATCTAGGGAATGACTGATTGTTCCATGCTGTTACAGATTGTTGCAGTCATCATTCTGTACTTAATTAGTAATTGATGCAGTGCTCCATAATTCTGTGAAAATGTCAATTATTTACTTGTTGGTCTTAATCTTTTGGGCCACCACTTTAATGTTAGTATATAGTTGATGGTCTGTAAAAACATGGGACGCTCTGCCCATTTGCCCGATGCGCCGAAAGGCGTGAAAAGGGATCTTTACTTTACTATATAGTTTACAGTGTGAATGCCTGGGTACTAATATGTGAACAGCCGATTTTCACAATGACTACATTGGGAATTCATGGTAGCTGTGTTAACACAGTTTCTATTGTGAATTTATAGTTATTGTTGTGAGTGTGTAGTTATCTATGTCAATACCACTGACACTGTTTAATTATTTCGCCATGGACATTGATGGCTTGTGTACTAATGTGAATTTGTAATTACCCATGTGAACGGTTAGTTGCCCATGTGAACTTATGTCTACTGATGTAAATACGTGGCTGTTACCAATGTAACTTTAACTTTGATTTCAGTGTATAATTACCAATGTGAACAATTAGTTGCCCATGTGAACATATGTTTACTAATACATGGCTGTTGCTAATGTGAATGTTTGTTCCAGTGTGAACATATGATTACTAATTTGAATGCACGGCTGCCTGTTTTCAAGAGTTCCCATCATGCTTGTCCCTTGCGTAGAGGAGAAGAGAGACTTCCATTTCAATGGATCATTAAAACTGGCGGATATGATTCCTTTTTTGTGTCTGTGTGTATAATAGGCATTTCTTTAACAGATTTGTCTTTTTGATGATCTGTAAGGCAACGAATGTATATCTCTCTTTGTCTGATCACTTTACTTTGATCTTTCAAGAGACAGTAGCTACTAATAGCTTAGGGCAGTGTTTCCCAAACTGTTCTTAGTCGCAAATCCTTTTTTTTTCAATAAAAAAAATTTCCACAGCGCCCTAACTTAAGTAAAAGTAGGACTTTTCATAAGTAAGATATACAAAAAAAAAAAATAAAACTCGTGTATCTTAGAATATTTCATGAACAGAAAAGTGAAAATAAACTGGTTAAATGCAACAACAAAAGTTTAACATTTCTGCTACTATAAACCGTTGTCAGGGACAACACAAACACCATTAATGAAATAATTTTTTAGAAAAAAACTATGATGATTAACAAACCTGGAAGGGGACACATGGCCTCAATAGAAAACTAGGGAGGTCAAAAGGGCAGAATGTTGGATGGGCCTGCATACACTGAATTCACCAATCACATGTCTCTATAGCTTAGTGATTACGTAATTTACTTTGTTCACTGAAAGTTGTGAGTTCATGCCACAGACCATGTTCGGTTTACAAGCAGTTTTTACTGAGGTCCCATGGGATCGTCACTTGAGCTATATAGTTCATGTTTTTGTGATGTTCTTGACAGGCAGAAAGCCAATAAGACAGAGGCCTAGCAATGAGGGATAAAACAAAGTAATC